CATTACCAGATTTGCTCAGGTTTTCTGACATTGGATGGGATCCACTCGGAAAATAATGGGTAAATGGTGGAGACACAAAGTTTTGCGGAAATTGCATATTGGTACTCCAAGGTGTTTCCATGAAAGGAAGGTTAGAAGGAACAATACCAGGCACATTCCTATGACCATATCCCATTGAAGCTAAGACGGCAGGTGTCATCTGAAACGGTAAGTGGGGGCCAGTAGAAAAATTAAAAGGAAAAGGGAAGTGACCATTAAAACCTTGCCCGGTAACATATGTTATCGAGTTAACAAGATCTTGCTCTTCCTGTTGCATTCCCTGTTCCCCTGTTGCAGAGAATTCTTCATTCACAGAAACTGAACCTAAATCATCACAATAACTGTTCACTGCACTACTCATGTCAACAGTACTATCAGGACTTCGAGGGGACGGTGTATGCCTAACTGAAGATGAGTCAGCCGCATTTCTGATACTGCTTGACAAACTCTCAGACTCTAGATTTTTTTCCTTGATACTATCAGCCCTCGTGGAATTAGTTAGGCGTTTTCCAGCTTCTGAGGCTCTACTACGCCTTGCTGGCAAAAGAGCTTCACCACATGTATCAGTAAGCTCAGGGCTAGACCGTGTCCTGGCAAAGAGATGCCTTCCATGAAAATTATTCACCATGATTTCTGGCTTAACAGTTTGCTGAAGCTTACCATTTGAAGCATTTTGATTAGACCCAACTTCCTGAGCAAGTTGGTAAGAGTTACCACCACAGTTCTTCTGGGTTTGATACGTTGTTTTAGATATAACTTCCGTTCCACCGTTTTTCTGTCGAGAGGGCATACTGGGAGGGGCGGAATTTTGGTTTCTTTTGCTGCTTGAAGAATTACTACCATTTTCAGCTTGAAGACAAGGCTCAGGATCTCCCAGTCTTGATAACCATAGATCATTTCCAGGAGCATCAGGACGACGACCACTGCCATGTCTTTCCCATGTATTCATAAAAAAATGGTTAACCTCATGGATCAAATTCTCCTTAGGGCACTCAAGTAACCTAGCCAACTTCTTTGCACCAAGAGCAAATGCACTTCGTATCCTAAAGAAGTTACCTGCAAAAACAATTGTACAACAAAAAAAAAAATTCCAAGTAGGTAAGTAAATCAACCTGTTTGGGCATCTTCTAGCTTCATACAGTATAAATAACAGAACACCTTCAATAAGCTACCAAGGCCAGATATGTATTAGCGTTCAACTATAAAAGCACATATTGCACAAAAATCTTAAACAGGGAGCACCTTTACTGACACTGCGTCCAAGGTTGTTGTTTTCACGCAAAGGGTCTATAACATTGAAGTGTTTGGCAACAAAAGGATGCCCCTGTGTCTCTTGAGCAACAGGGTTAACTGCATAAGCTCTACTACAATCTTTAAGAAACACCTGGCTCTTTCCTAACTCTCCAACATCTTTTCGAGGAGGCTCCGCTGCGAAACATTGCATAGCAAGACAGTCAGTACTACATACACAATCAAAAAAAAAATGTGAGATGAAACGCATTTTACAAAATACCTGTAACATCTGGTAGTGAACTAACTGGAACAGGACCCCAAAGGCTAATACAAAAATTCTGCCAATCAAACTTACTAAAGAACTCAAGAAAACGATAGAGAACCTACAAAAACGCAAGCAATCCAGTCAAAAACGAACCAGAATTCTTGAAGACAAGTTTCGTAGTAGTATTACAGTGACTATTACCTCGAGGGGACCAGAAAATGAGTTGTTGAAAACATGAAATATGTAAAGAACCAAGGTCTCAAGAGCATATGTTGAAATAAGCCCATGGTGAGCTCCCAAAATCCGGCTCTCGTAATAACACCAAGCTTTAATCAATATGATACTACGCTTGAACAAATGGTTCTGGTTTATAAACAAATCAGCCTACACAAATAAAGAGGGGATATATAAATCAATCAAATAATCTGCTAAATTCAGAAAGAGAGGAATGTTAGTAGCTAACCTCCTCAAGGAAGCATAGAGTACACAAACCTCCAATCTGGTTAAAAGATATATCAACCACAATGTTCTCCACCAGACACTTAATTAGCTTCACCTGAAAACAAACACTTAAATTAATAAAACACACTCATGAGAATAATCACTAAATTAGGATATATATATCTATCAATCATACTTCAGCTTGAATGTACTGGACTTCCTTAACACGAAACTCAGCGTTTTGATTCTTCTCTTCCTTCTCAAGCATATCACGAACCAAATTAGCCCATGAATCCTTCAAGCTTTGGTTCGTGCTAAAGGCCGTTAAATCAATATCTCCATCTGGTAAATAAGTCTTCAACGGAACCGATCCAAATGTAAAGATCTAACAATCAAAAAAAAAAAGTGATAGTTAAAGTCACTTATCATAACAATAATACGAATCAATTCTCACAATTCACACCTCAACTTGGAGAGGAGGGAAGCATTCCATGATAAGTCTCCGCACGTATCTCGCAACGGCGTTTCGGCGATTTTCCGAAGGAGGATTCGGCTGGATGCAAGCGATTAGCTTAGCGGTTACATCCTCCGCCTTCGACCATCGCTCCGCGTCGAGGTGACGTGTCACGGATGCAGCCTTCCCCGGTAATAGCCCGTTCGGAGAAACCGCCAATGATCCATTCTCACCCATGCGATGATTCTAATCAGAGACCGTTACGATTGGTATTGAGAACACACGAAAATGGAATAAAAACCTAATCGCGCTATGAGCCGAATTGACCTTCGATCTAAGGGAATCTGCAAGGGTTTTTTACCATGAAAAAGAAAAGGTAAGAGAGAGAGTAAAAGAAGCGAGAAATTTTTTTTTTTTAACGGAGAAACTACCAAAACAATGTTAAGAGAGAATGTTCAAACACCTGTCTTTCGTCTATTGGTATAATCTTATACAAAGATAAAAGTAATTTTAATAAGTATTCAGATTTTATCCAAAATAAAAAAAAAGTATTCAAATTATCTTAAAATATAAATCGGTGGTTGTCAATGATTTTTCGGATAATAATATATATATATAAAGATACATAAACACTTATGAAAAATATAAAGATGAAAAAAATAAGCTTAGAAGACCAACTTCAATAACGTTCTAAAGATGGTAGAAGATATGATCCACCATCTACGGTGAATTAGATGGTAGCTTCTTCGAAAAAAACAAAAGTCTAATAGAATTAGAAACCGCAATATGCCGAACTTGCTTCCATCTAATCTGGTAGAGATTACAATCTAATATTTCTACCCTATTCTACAAAGTGGCAGATCACATCATCTAAATTTTACCCTATTTCTACCAATGGTAACATTTACATTCAAAAATCTTGTTTCTTCCGAAATATAGGTCATGTTCGTTTCGTGGTCGCCAGCGTCAGCGACCAGAGTCAGCGACCAGCGTCAGCGACTTGATGTCGCTGATAGTTGTTCGTTTGGTGGTCGCTAGCGTCAGCGATTGATTGCAGCGGTTGTCCCTAAGTTGTTCGTTTCAGTGTCGCTTGCGACCAGTTCTTTACATTTAAATTATTGTTTTTTTGATAAAAAAATATGATCATAGCTTTTTTTTTTTTTTGAAAATTCTTTTTCAGTTACTAAATTATTAAAAAGTCATAAATACAAAAAGTCAAAAGTATTAATATTTTATTATTAAAAGATAAGTATAAAATAAAGAAAATAGAAAAATTATAAAGGTACTTGTAAAATAAGTTCAATGTTTGGTGTCTATTGGTTGAGATTTTCTGGATTTTTATAGCTAAATTAATACATGGTTTGTAAATAGCTGCTAAAAGCATTTCACTTATTTATTTTCTTTGATCTGATATATGAGAATCATTTTAAGATAATAAATTATTCTAATTTGAATTAGATAATTCGTAACTGAAAGACTGGCTGCTATTTAGATTTTTTTTATTTGTTATGTTCTTTGTGTGTATTAGCTAAAATTGGAAAGTTTATGATTGTTAAAGAGAAAAAAGAATAGTAATGATAGCTCAAAGATAACTAGTTTATAGCTACTCTAAACATTAAACTTATTTAACAAGTACTTTTAAGATTCCTTTTGAATTTTTATGATTTAATATTTATGTATTTTAGACTTATTTTACTAATAAAATAATATAAATACTTTGTGATTTTTTTATTTTTTATTTATTTTAATAATAAAATATTATTTGTTTATTAGTTTTCGTTTTTCAAAAGTTTAATGAATTTATGATTATTTTTGATTTTTTATGAATTTATTCTATTTTTGTATTATTATTTTTATTTTATTAATAAAAAAATTAAATTATTGTTTGTTATTCTTTTTTGTTTTTGGTGATTTTTTCTATTTTTAGTATTATTGTATTTATTTTATTGATAAAATTATTTAATTATTATTTAAAAAACTAATGATTTTTATAAAAAATTATATTTTGTATAATTATATTTATTTTATTTGTACAATAATTTTTTTAAATAATGACTTTTAGGATTTTTTTATGATTTTTATTAATTTTTATGATTTGTTTTGAATTGTTATAATTTTTTATTTTTATATTTTTATATTTATTTTATTAATAAAATAATTTAATTCTTATTTGTGATTTTTTTTTAATTTTTAATGAATTTATGCTTTATTTTGACTTTTTATGATTTTTCTATTTTTGAATTTATTACTATTTTTGCTTTATTTTTATTTTCTGTATTTTCATATTTATTTTATAAATAAAATAATATTTCTAATATTTATAATTTTTAATAAATTTTTTATTTTTCTATTTTTTGTATAATTATATTTATTTTATTTAGAAAATAATTTATTGTTTATATTTTTTAAAAGTATAGCCCCTCACAAAGATTTGAGTTTGGTTTGGTGCAACTTTAAGACACATTTAGATTTTGACCTGCATTTAAAAGTACGAGATATTATATGACATGAATTTTTTTATTTTTTGGATTTTTTGTATAATTATATTTATTTTATGAATAAAATAATATTTATAATTTTTATAGTTTTTTATAACTTTTTATTTTTTTCTATTTTTTGTATAATTATATTTATTTTATTAAAAAAAATTATTTTAATATATTTTTTATGAATTTTATTGATTTTTATGTTTTTGCATTTTTTCTAATTTTTTTATTTTTTCTATTTTTTGTATAATTATATTTATTTTATTTAGAAAATAATTTATTTATCTATATTTTTAATGAATTTTATTGATTTTTATGTTTTCTTTTGAATTTTTTTATTTTTTTTTATTTTCTATATTTTCATATTTATTTTATTAATAAAATAATATATTTTTTTGTCGTAAGGTTTTGATCGCTGACACTAAAATTTTCAGCGTTCAAAAATTTTAATCGCTGAACGCTAGCGTCTGGTCGCTGCGATCAGTTGCTGAGACGGCGACCAGTAAACGAACAACGTTTAGTTGCTGAAGTTGGTCGCTGACGCTAGCGACCTGCAAACGAACAGCGCCTATTCAAAAAATCCAGAAATATTGCCTAAAAATGGTTACTAATGATTTTGGAAATATTTTCTTTACTTTTTTTTGTTTTAACTTTATTTTGAAAAAACCGTAAAGTTCTTCTTCTTCTTTCTCACGATCTCTTCTTTGTTTCTCCTAATATGCTTGTCAAAATCTTTTGAAATAAGATGCATATCTACTTTTTTTATGATATGTGGAACTCGTCGGTTAAAAGTTGGAGTTTTCTTGCTAATAAAGCAAAGGGGGTAGATTACTGGATTTAGATGCAAACTCAACCTTTGAGAACCTAAAGTTGATAGTTTGTGCGGACTTTGGAATCAATCTAACTCTGATCAATCTCAAGTTGAGCTACCTACCTTCTGATTTGGTTAATACCTTGGAGTGTTCTCCGGTTATCATTAGTTGTGATCGGCAAGCCACAAATTTTGTAAGCTATGTCAAGAGTAAACCTTCCACGCAGTTGTCTGCGTCTATCTTTAGTCAAAGGATGAGAATCGCAATACCGATGCACATATAAACTTCAATACCCAAGCATCTTCCTCGGTCAGCAGAGAGGATGATAATACCTCGGATGAAACTTTATATGTCGAAGAAAAACACATTGAGTAGGACGAAAATGATGATAGAAAGGGAAACAAGGAAAATAGTCTACGATTACACATTGAAGAGGACGAAAGTGATGAAGCAGAGGAAAACAAGGAAGATAATCTACAATTTGTTTTGTTGGATGTTTTGAAGGAGGGCCAACACATTGAGCAAGCTTTTCGTTGACATAAAAAAGATGGGAGATATTATATGTTCTTAGATTTCAACATGATACTAGGTAACAACTAGTTTTGGAGAAAAATAACCAAATAATAATTACTAGTGTCTTAACAAATTTGTAGACGCCTTGCTCCGCAAGCATCTCTCCTTCACGTAACTCTCTTTGGAGTTCTCATCCCAAACCCACGCTTCATCTTCTCAATCCTACACCATTCCCCCAAAAAAAAACCAAACATATGTCAGATACACTTTCTTGTAAAGAAGAAAAAACAAAGCCAAAAAAAAGGCTTACGTGGGGGCAAGTTTTCCAAGGCAATCAAGCTCTTCACCAGTGTCTTCATCTATGACTCTACCAGTAATGTCAACAATGTATGATCTATCTCTGTCTGGAGGAAGCCCTCTACCTGCAAGCAACTCCAAATCTTTACGGTGAAGCTCTCTTCCGTTCACAAACACTCCTGTTGTTCCACCTGCACAGTTCTCTGGTATTGGGAAGTTTAACTCTTCAATGAATGGCTGCAAAACATAACACAACAACAAAGAGAAAATATTATTTTTTTTTCATTTTCAAACAACATATTGACAAGAAGCAAATATTAAAATGTGTGTTAAAATTACCGGTATTATTCCAAGTCCTGGACCACCCATTACTCCCCAGAATCCAGCTCTATAATCATACCTACAACACACATTTTATAAGAGTGACAATGTTATAACATATGATCATATAATATAAAAGAGTCACAATGTTATAACATGATCATATAAAAGAGTGACAATGTTATACCAGTAGTTTCCTGGCTGAATGGCTCCTGCTAGCTTCTCTGCTTTTCTAAGCATACGTTCTGTTAAATTATGTCCATTTATAGAAACACTGCTTCTGTTCCCTTCATCGTTCTGAATAGACTTTGTCAGATCCTTGAAGCTTTTCTTCACAATGCTAGCGAACCCATTCTTCTTTGATCTTTGATGTTGATCTTTAGATACTCCACTGTTGTGATGAGAGTAGTCATTGAAAGAAACCTCCATCTCACTTGCAAGTGAGACCTCCTTCATGGAGTTCTGTCTCATTGTCTTACTCAGTGTCACCCTCTCCTGTTCTGAACTAAAGCTACGGCTCCCTGCTCCAGTCCTCTCGTGGTTGATTGAAGAGTAGTTAGCAAAGTTTTCCTGAAGAGGGGAGTCAAGTGGTTTAGCTGTTAAACTGTCTGAGCTTAGCTCATCTTCTGAGAGGCTAGCGGAATGAGAATGAACTATTTGCATGTCTTGAGCAGTTGGCAAATCTCTTGGCTCATCATCTAAGGAATGAAACACGTAACCAAGAAGATCATAGTCATCAGAAGTGTAGTCAGCAGCTACACGAGCCTCTCCTCCTTGTCTCGTTGTGTTGTTTGTAGAGAGAACAAAC